AATTATATTTCAAAAGTTTATTGAATATTATGTAATAAATTTACCCTTTTGATATTGTTTGTATTTATTCAAAAGTGAATACATATATTTTTTATTTAAATAAGTAAAATAATAAATAAATGTAATGTAATGTTATAAAAAATTTCATATGGTCTAGAAATATAATAAATAAATAAAATTTCACATCATAGAAGTGATAATCATATATCATGTTGGTAATATTATAATTTTAGATAATGTCACAGAGATCTTTAAGAATTTAAAAGATTATTAGGCAACCTATAATACTGAAATGTCAATGTTATTATATGATCTGAAAAAAATATTAATAATTAAATTATTTTAAAAATGTACATGGAAAGTCAATCCACATCTAAAATATACTTCCAAACAAATGATAGATGGGGTGATAGATGTTTCAACATGAAACATCTGTCACCAGCAACATATGACCATCTCAAGACACAGAAAGAAGCCTTGTATTTTTGGTGACATCATTTAGTGGTGCCTTCCTTGCAGCAGCAGTCCAATTTAATGTACATCCTCACGGACAATGTGATGCAAACAAATTTGATAAGCTTCTTATATAGCATTAAGAATTAAGTAAATTTATTCATCTTCTCGTATGAGATAAATATGTGTTAGAACATAAATGACATCTTTAAAACAACAATGATTCTCCTCGTATCTTCTTCTAATGCTCTTTTTCGGGTGATGTCGAAAACTTGTGAGGTGTAACTCTGTATGATCAACGATCGTCTATGTATATATTCATTCATTTATTCATTTTTTATGATGTAAAGTAACGATGATATTAATATTTTTTTATCATAATCGGTGTGGATGCAAGAGAAATACTCTAAAAATCAGCTCTTAATCCGATGGAACTTGATGAGGGTAATAATTACGATAAAACTCACGTGACATTAGCTACGCCAGGTGACGCATCACACCTCTGTCAACTTGATGAGGCACCCGGTCAGCACGGACTGGAACGCCTGCCGAGGCACATTAACACCCTGCTCAGGCTCGATCCTCCACGCCACGCCAACGGCAATGTCAGACGCTACCAGAAGTACGATCCTGCTCCCTGCGAGCAGGCACATCATACAACGGTAATTATCACTATAAAAACCCTCGCGCATGAGAGGGGAGAAAGGGGAGGAAAGAAGTGGAGACAACTTGGCTAAAAAAGAGCAAACTCCCCACGACCACTCACTAACTTGATCGTCGGAGGGGTCGGGCCAAGCTCCCCGACCCGACCTTTGTGCAGGTGTGAAGCCGAAGGTCCCCACGGAACGCGCAGGCGAGGAGTCCTCCCCCGGTGGAAACGGCTACCCCGTCCCGATCGGATCTACACAGTCGACCGCCTCAACAGTCTCGGGAAACGTCCCATGGAGATCTCCTATCATCCGGACCCGAACCAAGTCGCGTCGGTCCCGAGGCCACGGCTTAAAGTTGTTTACACTAACATTTTTTGCGCTAGAAGGAGGGCCGGAATGTCGGGGGATCACCCGATTGGCTCGGACGAACCTGCGGCTGAGGGGTCACATACGATTGGAGCTTCAGGGGAACATCCCCCGCATGGAGATCTTCGTGACGAACACCCCGCCACGACCTCAGAGCGCTATTGGTGGATATTCAATGACCCGGGCTTGTCACCACCCGACGGCGCCCCCACCGACCCGTCGCTCGTGTCGTCCGAAGCCTTTCTGGGCCTCGCCCATCAAGTCCGAGCTTTGACGGGTATGGTGCAAACCATTATCCCGCTCGTTTCTCATCTGGCGCACCCGCCTACGATCCAACCACTAAGCAACAGGAGCCGCCCGTTCGGGCCCACACGCCACTTCCGGAGTTCCCTACTTCGCTTCGGGTCCCATGGGCCCCACTAGGGGATCGAGTGGCGGCAAATCCGAGAGGCCACCCGGAACCCGAGGCATTATCTTCGGATTCAACGGACTCCCTGCAAGCCCAACTACACTCTGTTAATCAGCGGCTCGACGAAGTACAGAAGGAGGTTCGCAGGTCAAAGGGAGAACTCGGGGTGGAGCCACACTAGGGGTCTCGGTTCACACCCGAGATACAAGATCAAACGGTTCCCCTGAACTTCCGGCTCCCCTCTTTGGATGCATATGACGGCTCCACCGACCCAACGGACCACGTAGCCTCTTTCCGTGCCCAAATGGCGCTATACAAAACCTCCAACGCTTTGATGTGCAGGGCGTTTCCCATGACTCTAAGGGGGCCAGCCCGCACATGGTACAACGGTCTGAAGACCGGGATGATCGCCTCCTTTGATCAGCTCGTCGAAGACTTCGAGCTTAACTTCTTGACCAACGCTCGGCCGAAGTCGTCCGTTGCACTGCTCCTCGGACTCAACCAAAGGGAGGACGAACCCCTCTCCCATTTTGTGAATCGCTTTACAACACAAATCCGGGGGTTGCCGGATGCTTATCCCTCTCTGTTAGTGCAGGCGTTTATGACAGGCCTGCGACCTTCCAGATTCTTCTGGTCCCTCGTGGAGCGACCCCCACCACAGTACCAGATATGCTCCAGCGGGCTCGTCGGCCACATGTTGCCCGAGACCATGCTTGCGTGGCCTGCCCGCCTGAGCCATACCCCTCGGCCGCAGCCCGCCTGCGTCGTGCTCCTCAGCTGCATGTTGCCCGAGACCACGTCTGCGCGGCCAGCTCGCCTGCGTCGTGCTCCTGGCCGCATGTTGCCCGAGACCACACCTGCGCGGCCTACCCGCCTGAGCCATACCCCTCGGTCGCATGTTGCCCGAGACCACGCCTGCGCGGCCTGCCCGCCTGAGCCATACCCCTCGGCAGTAGCCCGCCTGCGTCATGCTCCTCGGCTGCATGTTGCCCGAGACCACGCCTGCATGGCCAGCCCGCCTGCGTCGTGCTCCTCGATCGCATGTTGCCCGAGACCACACCTGCGTGGCCTGCCCGCCTAAGCCATACCCCTCGGCCGTAGCCTACCTGCGTCGTACTCCTCGGCTGCATGTTGCCTGAGACCACACTTGCGCAGCCCGCCCGCCTGCGTCGTGCTCCTCGACCGCATGTTGCCCGAGACCACA